GATGCGTCTCATTTTGGGGTATCAAAACGTCGGTGTTTTGACCTTGGTGGTGTCCGGATTTTGTGTAGGCCTAGGCATACCTTGTAGCCAGGCACTTTTGGGTCATAAACAAATATGTTTCGGCTACAATTTTCAATTTCCAAAAACCTTACATACTAATAAAACTTTGAAAAGCATGATGAGAGAACAAAAAAAGAGTACTGTATAGGCCTAGGCTACGCTTGAATTGCGCTGTGATTGCATAAACACACAGAATGGCTACAAACCGTTACGGATAGCTAAACGTATGCATACACGTATTTGCTTGCGTGTAAAACCTCTCTAATAAGTTGGACAGAATGCCAATAAAAAAAATGGATTTCCGGTAAAATTCCATAATACTGTATAATATATTGTAAGAACGCATTAGCCTAATATACAACATAATTCTATTTGTTATTTCAACTCAAGAGGCATAAGTTTCATATTTTAAACTCTGTACAGAGTATCAAATTTTCTTCCACAAAAAAATGGTTGTATGCCCATATACAGTCATGATATGATGTCATCATGACCATATATAGGCATGCCACATGTTTTTTGTCAAATAAAGTTTTATAAGTCTACACAAAGCTTTTACATAATCATGGCTTCGAGACCATCCTCCAAGAAGCGTTTATATATACTCATGAACTTTGCGACAAATGCTTCCTAGTGATATATTACTTTACTACCCATCTGTAACCTGTGTTCGTAGAATGCTGCAATCTGGGTGATCTCGGATTTTAGCTGGCCGTCACACTCAGATGTAAACATTGTCCAAGGACATTTCTTCCCTAGATTTAGTCTATACATCAATTTACATTTAAATATACAAAAAGTTAAAATTGAAACTAACTCATTTGTCTTCTTATCACAGCTTGCAAGTACGATATTCATCCAATTTACTTTATCAGGCTTCTTTAGGCACAATTGTAACATATAATTTTTTCCAACATGGCTTTTTCTTTGTTAAAAACTCACAAGTGACTAGACTCAGATGTAAACATTGTCCAAGGACATTTCTTCCCTAGATTTAGTCTATACATCACTTTACATTTAAATATACAAAAAGATATGTTATGGATGTGTGGAAATAGTTCTTCGCTATACAACAGCCAAGTACCCAGTAAAATGGGCAAAGAATACCTATGAGGCATAAACGTACCTGAAACCAGCAAATTAAAACAAAATCGTAAAACCTCGAATTGAAGCCCTAGGCATTTCTTCTTTTATTTTTTTGCAAACTTTTGATGGATATATTTTTAAAAATAAGCTTCATTTCGAGATGGGCTTCTTTTCGAGGCTACTTTTGCGAATTAAAGATGGGGGTTTCTTTTCAAAATGAATGATGTAAATTTTTTGAATTTGTACTATGAAACAATAAATAAGGCCACTGTAACATCAATCTGTATAATGGAGTGTATTTAACTGCATTAAATCCCCTAATCTACTTTATAAGCCAAGCTTGTATTTAATATATTTTGTTTTCTGAAATTCATGTACTATGTACTGTACTATCTCGAAAAGAAGCCTATGCTTTTTTTCGAGGCTAATTTTGCAAACTAAAGAGGGGGCTTCGACTTGAGATGGGCTTCATCTGAAGATTAAGCCCACTGGGCTTCAATTAGAGGTTTTAGATGAATAATCGTGATTATAAATAATAAAACAAATCAATTTCAATTGCACAAACACAATGAAAAAACAAGTTTAATACAAAGGTAACTATGTCTCATGGAATAGGGACGTCACTCTCCTAAGGTCAATTAACCCGTACTAACAATACAGTGAGTACACAAGAGAGTCGCTGATACAATAAAAGCAAGCATTTCACAGGCACTTTGAAAGAAGACATAGATGAAGTAATACAAACAAAACACTGTTGAGAAATATATTCAATTTAGTTTACGAATCAACAGCACGTTTTTCAAACATTTTCAATACTAGAGTATTAATACTTTCCTTAAACTGCAAGTACGTGTTAGCCTCCTATCAAAAGGAATTTTTTCGGAGTGTCAATCATGATTACTAACTGATTAATCAGAAACTCACGTGTGTCTTAAAAGCACACCCGTTTTCCCAAAAACTTACGTGTTTATTATATACGTTTACATTAGGTAGTTTTCGCCGCACGACATTAACCTTAACGTTGACGCATGACGTCATAATTTATTCATCGTGCGTTGGGGAGTACGTTAATTTTAGTATTTTACGTGCTCGACGTACGTTAGTTACGGGTTTTGCGCATGAGTATTTCGATTTGTTTACAAAAGGAGCATGTTGGGTATTAACGTTAAAGTTAAGGTTAACGTTGTGCGGCGAAAACTACCTATTGTCGTTTTGTGTGACCTAGCAACAATATCCATCTAGTGTATACGTTGCAAGTTGTAAGAGATTACTAAGTCAAGTGATATACTGTACAGTATTCTGAAATTAAGTTGGAGTTTATACTCACTGGAACCGATGATGAGAACGATAGCATACGTTAGGCCCTGCTGACGATTTCTCTACTTTTACACACACTGGTATGGTAAGTACAATAGCTAACAGTATCTCTGTTCCTGCCAAGGCCATAAACAGTATCTCAAGTTCGGTGATGTCACGAAGAGTTTGTCTCTTAAAATTGAAAAATAAAATACGACTATATATAATCTCAATTAAAAGCAAAAATAACATTGACTTAATTGATTGATTATGCTTGCACTAGGCATTTTCTGAGTTCATAACACGCGGTGAGCAGTGAGTGATTCAATACATGTTTCACCCAAACAAATTCATTTCATTGTATGCATCCTCTGAGATATTACAATATGTTTTTTTGTGGATTGGTTGGTCAAATTTAAGGTTACGAAACAAGCAATAACAGTATTTAAAAAAATACGTAAGGTAGGTTACCGAGCAAGTGCAGAATAAACCTAAAAGATACTAAGCCAAATCCCACTCCACCACCCAAAGAAAGGTAAACAAAAACAAAATGGAAATTGATGACGTCTTTTTTTCAAAAGTAGTTTGGAATGACCTGAATTGCCCGTTCTACTGTATATGAGGTGTACAACGGCCTATTTGCCACGGAGCTGCGGTTTACAAGGTATAGTATAATTTGACATTATAAATACGGGTCCCACTGCAAGTTTCATTCCGGGCCATTTTGGTGTGAAGCTGTCAAGGGTCACAAGTGGGACCACGGGAAAATCTTGTCCCGGTGGGGTCCACTGGGCGAAATTCCCTGGAAGATTAGAAGTTTTAGTTTACGAGCAGTATTTGATGGATTTCAAAGAATTTTGATTCTCAGGTACTGATAATTTTTTCAGAAAATTCATCATAAGAAGCTTGTGCTTAGGAGTAATGTTTTGCCTAGTATCGTGCCGAATACTTAGTATGTTCCCAAATATTTGCGGGAAAAAAATCGTAAGTGATTCAGATAATAACAGCCTTGTGTGACAAAGAGTTTAAACATTTTACACGCAACATTCAGAGTGTAACAGTTTTTTACATAGTTTGAAAAAGTCGTGTGTATTGTTTTCAAGAAAAAATAGATGGCTTATCAAAATTACCATTATAGTAATAGTAGTATAGTAGTATAGTATGTGGGGAAAAAGGTGTTAAAATAATAATAATTAATATTATCAAGGTGTGAGCGAACAGAAAGGTTAAAACTATTAGAACTATTAGTGAGATTGTTAGGTATTAGTACAGAACAAAATTGAAATGAGTAATTTCTTTGTAGAGATTATCTATTGTAATCTATATCGATGTGACTCTCCGTATAACGATAACAATCACTACCTCGCACATATATTAGCGCTAATCAACAAGTCAGTATCCAGATTAGAATTCTTAGAAATGTATATTATAAGTTACTGATAGGCCTATATGGAATGATAGGGCACTTTTCTGAGAAAAAAAATCCGAGGTACCGTCTCTTTTATGTTTTAATTTCAAAGTTCAAATGCTTTACTACTCGCAATACTCGAGATACATATTATTCCCATGGTTTATATTCCTATGCTAAATAACTCAGATTTAATGGCAATAGTGATGGGCTATGCAATTATAATGCGTGTAATACTATTGTAATTAGTCTCTATAACTACAACAAAAGTGCAACAAACAAGGTGTATAAAAACCAAAAGTGAAAAGTGAATAGACGGGATTTGAGCCGAGACTGGAAGACATTCAAGCATGTGGTGTAATGATAAGTTATGGGTTATATCTGCTGTTTAATGGTCTGAGTTTTAATTTAACTTTAATTGAAATATAATACATAACCAAATACGATTGAAATTATTACAGTTAAATATTGTGGTAAAGCTGTTAATAATGTTATGTAATCATAACTGATTTATTGTTTTTCAATTGTTTGATTGTTGGGGTAATGCTGGTTTCATAAGACTCTGATTCCAAAACGCTTTTTTTATATTATATTATTGATTTACCTACTAAATAGGCCTACATGAAATGATGCTGGGATGCTCACACAAGACAAAAAATGTATATACTAGAAAAATGATGTGACGTTTTTCATAATTCATTATGGATTGTACGTTATGAGGTGACACAAGGAATTATGTTGGAAGCATATGAACCCAAGAGACGTAATTTTATTTTTTTTAAATGTAAATATATAATAATAAATAATAATAGTTGGATTTGTAGGGCGCATCATGCGAAAAAGCCTCTATGCGCTTGGTGATTGAGCTCTTTGATATGAATATGAATACACATAATGTGATGTTTATAATTCATGACGGAGTACTCCATAAGGAATTAGTACAGATTAAACGTCGGTACTTTATTGGCAGATTTTATGTAAAAAAAATGTAATTGTAAATAGATGATATTCATAACTTCTTAATTTCATGATAGAGTGAGCGAATTATGCTTAACTATTTGTGCATTGTGAAATTGTAAAAAGGGCCGGATAGGCCTAGTGAATAATGATGAGCATCATGAATACATGATGGATTGCAGGCCGCTATTGGGTTTTATTGTTACTATTGTTATTATTATTAATGTAATGCATTATCCTAATATTATTACTGTTTTTATTATTATTATTATTATTATTATTATTATTATTGCTCAGTAGTTGTTACAGTGTTATTGTTCATTATTGGAGTGCGTTCAGCTAATTTACATTCAGTTGTTCAGTCAAATACTGTGCGTCTGCACTATAAAGGGTTTTCGCTGTGTTGTTTGTCACACCTTAGTAATGCTATGCTATGCTGGGCCTAAGACGTTGCCTCTGCTAGAGGGGAATATGTACCCAGCGTTAGCTTATGATGGAAATGCCACATAAGATTGTGTAAGTTATTCCTATTGTATCTATATAGGCCTATGCTTCTTTGGAAACGTAATTTGATGTTTTTGGTTTTATTCGTGGGTTGGTTTTGTTTGCTTATAGATCTCGTAGCCCTCGAGGTGGGGATTGGAATTTGACTATAAAACTGGTTGATACAATTGGTTCTACGTCGACTCGCTCTCTCCGATGCTTACGCAGCTTAGAATCTATAGGAGTGGGAGTTATTGCCTACGTTGGTTCTCATGGTTAGCTGCAAGGGATGTGACATTCATGCTGATAAATATGACTATGGAAAAGATGATTGTATTGTACTTATGGTTTCCAATGTGATGTAATGTTTAAATCAAGGTTGTGTTATAGAGTTGACACTAAATGCGTTTGTTTGTTTATGATAGTAGTATTGCATGTAATTTTGTATGGAATTGGAAGTTGTAATGCACATATGATTATAAATGAGATTGTGCTTGTGTTTTCATGTGGCGAATATGTTGGGCCCATTGTTAAACGTATGTGATTAAGTGAATTAGATTTTGACACCGTTTGAGATGTGATATTTCGTAATGTCTCCTAGTATATTAACGTACACATTAACATGACAACATTTTTCTAACCTCCAGACACTTTCTCTCACAATCCGACTAAAACGCTCACATAGGCAGATTTGAGAGTGCCATTCTCGGCCATCTATTTCTGCTATATCATAAATAGGCCGACAGTGGCGCCAAGAGGCCGAGGCAACCGGAGTAAGTGCCTCGGGCCCGGGATAACTTGGTAAAAAAAATAATAAAATAAATAAAAATCATTAAACGTATACATTCATCCAGTATCATTCATGTGTTTTTCCTAGTGAAATTGTAAACTGACCGTTTATCGATGAAGTTCGACTTCTAATTCTTTTTCATGACTTCTACTACTGGAGTTTATGTTACAATGTATCAAATAGTAAATTCTTTTACGTTATTGTCAAAAGCTTGGAACTTGGACATAGTCAATATACATACAAGTTAAAAAATAGGAATAGACCTGATAGAGATTCGATTGTCAAATAAATACTGAATTAAGAGTGCCATTTCCGGCAGTCTACAGTGGCGGATCCAGTGGGGTGGGGGAGGGGCTTGAGGGCTCTGCCCACCACCTGCCCACCATCAGTCAAGCAAAAAAAAATTTAAAAAATGAGAAACATCATATTGTCCTCGTGGCGGCGTGAACTTTGTTCACCCCGTCAGAAATTCTCTGGATCCACCCCTGGTCTGGAGATGCCATAATCAGATTAAATGCCATAATCATCGATTAAAATAGTCCTTTAATCCGTTAAAAGCTCGTAGTTTCTGGGACACCAGGGATCTGCCCTCGATCCCATTGGGGCGCTAGGCGACCCCACCCAGACCCCAACTAATGTGCCCAGAACTGTTTTGCAGGAATATGTTACCTGCCAGAAGTTTCCACATTTTTTTGAATCACAATCGAAGTTCTACGTGTTTGCAACCTCATATGAGATGAAGATTTAAGCTGCATGCATAATGAGCGTTGAGGGTCGGTCGACCGTTCGTGTGATGTGCTAGTCAATGTCAGCAAGGGCGGATCCAGTAAGGGCACGGTTCACGTGCTCCCCCGTTTTACAACTAAATTTTAAAAATTTCATTGCAAATCAAAGTTATGTGCTTCTCACTTACCTATCCGGAAACTGTTGTGCCCCCAACCCAAAAATTCTGAATCCATCCCTGACTGAGAAGAGAGATCTTAAATTGGTTAGAAGAATCTTGATGATAAGACTCTTCTTAATAGCACCAAATTTAGGTCATTTGGATTTGTATTTTCATTTATATTACCATATCTTAACCAACTCGGTAAAAAATTACATTCAACGATACTTACTCTCACCATTACAGTATGAACACTTCTCGATTCAGTTGTGATCAACAGCGAAGTATTATTTGTAGCCATTTTAAAACAGGAGTGTAGGTCAAGATCTGCTTGATGAATGAAATAACCAAAGAAGGCAAGAAGTGTATGTGTGTGTCCCCGGGCCAGAGGTGCTATTATATGCGTTTGTTCGTTCTTACCGTTACGGTTACAGTCAACATAAAAGTGGTGGCCCAGAGCAGTTAGAGAGAGTTTGGCCAACTCTGTTTCACGGGATTCGATATACGCGCGTGTGATTGGGGGATCGCAATCACATGACTTACACCGGCCATATTGTCACCAATACAAAACATTAAAGCTATACGCGCACATGCGCCTGGGCTGTTTGGTAAGTTGGCCAGCTATCTACGGCTCAGCAATGGCCCAGAGCCATATATAGAAAGAGTTGCGACATTGAGAATTTAGAAGCCATTTTGTTTCCAACGTGATGCGCGTTCTGTGTCTAAAGGTGATGTGCGTTCCTGTGTATAATATTGTATAATACAATTAGCGGCCTCCTGTATAGTTTAATTTCATTTAATCTTTTTAGCAGTCGAATTTCATGTAACTATTTATAGATTTTTTTTTATGATTTCACTACTTTATATCCAATTTCATATTATAAATACCGTACTGTAATCAATCAATCAATCAATCAATCAATCAACTTTTATTTCGGAATTTCCTCCATAACAAATATAAAAATGGAAAAGATAAATAATATTACAGACTGTAGGCAGTTATAAAACCTGCTCAATACAAAAGTTTATTCCATTTGGAAAACATAGTCGAGTAATATAATACTGACTTGACAACACCTTTAACCAGGCTGTTTTCAGAAGCATATATCCTTTTCATAAAAGAATAAACTGATTTTCTTACAAATTCGTAAAATGAAAGTAGCCTAACGTAGCAAACATTGCACCAGCACTGCTTGCCCTGGGCTTAACAAGCAAACTCTTAACGAATATATCGACTTACTCTTATAGTCAGACCAGACATTTACACAATAAAAATTCATACAAAAACTTTGTATGAACAACAATAATTTACTATTTTTAAGCAAGTTCTTTAATCCTCACCGATATACCGAGAAAGCCTCTCGATGGCAAGCATTCTTCAATTAGGCAATCCTTAAGTAGCTCCTGTTATATTTGCAAATAATTAAAAAAATTATTTAAATATTATGTATATCAAAATGTACCTAAAATCCGTATATAGGGTATATAGATTGTTGCTCTTTAAATTTGAATATGAGCGAGCCCTATACAAATCTTATGTTATTAATTTGATTATTATTATTATTTATAAATATTAAAATAGTATAGGTCAGGTGGCCGCAATATATAAACTGTGCTTTGCTGTAAATGTTATAAATTGTAAGTGTTAAATGATATACAGGATGTTTGATATATTCAACTTGTGTAATTATGTAACGTACATTTTATTTTATTAAAAGTCTAGCCTGTACAGTATGCTACTTTTATGAACACACTGGTAGAGCGTGTCCGCTGATTTAAAAGCGTCGTTTCCAGATGAAGTTATAATAATTATATAATAGTATGCAATAGAAACAGCAAATCATTTTTAATATTATAAAACATCACTTTTCTTTTCATTGGCATTCGTATTTATACAGGCTGTAAAACACAAAGAAAATTAAGAAAAACAATTGTTAATATTGTTAAGCGAACAACTTTTAAAGATTTTTAGAAAAGGGCGAAAAAAAAAATTTTGTTTTCTTATTTAGCTTAAATATTTTTCCGAACGCATCTAGGCGAATGAGAAAATAAAAATAAAATTTTAATGATGAACGTAAACAGTTTATTAATGCAAATGATAAATGCATTACATTTATATAATTAAGGAAGAAATGTGACGAATTAACGATAATTGAAAAAAATTCTAATTCTGTCCAATAATTTACGCGAGCACGCACGCGCGCAAATATTCGATTATATATGAATTCTAATACGCTCTCCATACTAATTGATGTTAATTATAAAATATAATTGTAAACCCAATTAAGTGTGTGAAATTAATATGCAATGTACGTAACACATATACTTTGCATGTGTTCATTGGGAAGATTATGACACAGAATGGACGGTGTATACCACGTGACTTTCGCAACCAAGGAGCGGAATGTCGCAACTCTTCATATATATATGGCTCTGCAGTGGCCCAGAGCCGTAGATAAAGTTTGTCCAACTTGGCGCATGGCGCCTTGTTGTTACCAAACAGCGTGCGCGCGTATTACCTTTATAACACTTTATAACACTGATGCTGCATAAACTTTCTTTTATTATTCTGTTCATGAGGACAATTTAATTATGGGATTTTAATATATCCTATCGCGTTAGTTTGTGGCAGTGGCCCAGAGCCGTTATAGAGAGAGTTTGGCCAACTCGGTTTCACGGGATTCTGCTATACGCGCGTGATTTGGTGGATCGCAATCACATTACTTACACCGGCCATTTGTTACCTAAGCAAAACATTGGCGAGCCATTTTAGCAGTTAATGATAGATGATTAATGCTATATAATATGAAATACAGTTATGTTCGGTTTGGGGTTGCTGCAATCGATCCAACAAAGGAACAATTAATAATGCATCAATTTCCTTAAAGCCCCATTCCCGGCAAAATTTCAGTTTTTAGGAAAAATCTAATTTTTGCATAATGTTATAAAGATTTATAAATATAATACGGAATTGCTAGTTTAAATGGATTTAGACATTCCTAAGAATAAAAAAAAATGTAAAATAAGACTGAAATTTGATTTTTTTTTTTGTGTTCCACACAAAAAATAAATGCGGATGAATTTTTCATGTTGAATTTGCGAGAAGAAATATCGTAGGCGCCGAAAACATTAGCCTATCCAGTGCTGCTAGGCTAGGCCTAGCCTTACCTCGATTTAGGTTCTGTTATCACACATAAAAACGGCCGACATGATATTTTCCGTTGCTAGTATTGACACTTGTGAATATAATATGTCACAGGAATTATTTCAAATTTGTTTAAAAACTGATTCTGACTAAGATTTTGACACTTAAACAAACAAATCTCAGCCTAACCGAACGACCGCATTGTGCGAGATGCGAAGTACAAAAGTAATCTCATTAGAGAGGGCGCACTTTATTGACTGTATAAAGTATAAATAAAAGCGAGAGTATTCCAGTGGATGCGATCTACAACCTCTGAATTTGCCTAGTAACGATGAATTAACTCGTCGAGAAAATGGTAAAATTCGTCGAGAAAATGGTAATATTTTATGAGAAATAGTCTGTATTTCTCATTTTTTTATTCTTTTGCGTAAAACTAAAATTCATGCCAATATTTTTCCATGATTTATAAAAATTGGAATAATGCAAATGCATATTTTCTAAAAAAAAGTCAGTTTTTAGTGAAATTTTGCCGGGAATGGGGCTTTAAATTCCAAAAAGGAGGAGGATTTAGAATTGTATTTAAACATTGCTGGCGATCGAAAAATCTCGCTATCCACGTGCCGACCCACTGCGCGGTAATCCACCTAATAGCGAGCTTTCGAAATGGGCAACGCGGGGAGCTGCGACGGGGAATTCAGTCAGCCATGAACGTCGTACTATGCACTTCCCGTCTGAACATCAAAGATGTTTCGATTTACAGGACGACGCGCTCCCTCGTATCGCGTGATCAATTATGCAGGCGCACCCAACGAGCGTGTATTTATAAAACTCGCGTTGCCGTAGTCAACAAAACGCCAAATCGCTTGAAGCCCATTGTCAAATCCACACAACGAACGACTTCCCCATTTATTCGCATGCGCAGTACGGTTTCACGCTCCACTGCCCGTCGTAGAACGCTGGGTCGTCCAAATCGAAGCAACTTACTACCTCTAGGCCTAGATTTCAGCACTTCTTCGGCCTAACACTATAAGGTAGTACATAAATCGGCCTATAATACTATAAGCATAATTTCAATAATAATTTAAAAAAAAGGAAGGATTTTCAAAGCAGCAATGAATGATATTTCTAAAAGATGCAATGTTGTACTTTGTTGTTAATTTTTACAGAAAAATTGAATCCTTCAATAAAAGCGAAAACTTGTCCAAGGAGTCCTGTGCTATGCAAACATGTGCTTTACAAATCATCAATGATTGTGCAACTAAGGAGATTTTAAAGGTAAAAAATTAAATAAAATTGTTGATATTGTTTCAATACATACACTAAATCATTAAATGTTTTACAATTACAAATCAAAAATTCAATGAATAATAATAATTAATAATAATAATAATAATACAGTAATAATACAGTAATAATGATAATAGTAACTTACTAATAATAAACAGAAGTGTGGAGAATGCTGCTATTTTACTTACATAGGCATAGCTTCTTGATTATGATTAGGCCTAGGCATATTGTACAAAAAAATATCTCACTAGAGGCTAGACCAAGTCTTTCTAGGCAAGATAGAGAGGCCTGCTAGCGACTAGGCATAGGACTAGATGTCATCGTGCACCCCCCCCCCCAGTTAAACTTTCTTGGTATCCTTTTGCACAAGAATATAGGGATGCATTGTATGTACTCTCGTCATTTGTAATGGTCGTTAGTGTTTTATGGTCAATACTTTTTTTGGGGAGGAGGCGTAACATTTATGCCCATAACCTGTGAATTCAAAATTCCATCAATGTTATTTTGGTAGCAATGTGTAGCATATATATTTGTTAATCAAATGCAGTTTAAATAAAATTAATCTGACAATTATTAACGTCACTAGAGGTCAAAAGGTCATCGACCTTTTTCTAAAATGCAAATTTTTAAATAAAATATCAATAAACTTCAGTGTCATATGTCTAATTTTGGATGTATTTGATACAAATTGTGTTTTTCTTGTAGGTATTGACATATGATCCGACAGTTTTTGGGGTGGGGTAACATTTATACTTATAACTCAGTCATTCAAATTTAAAAAAAGTTGAAACAGGCAGAAATTGGCGTAGCTAGAGGTCAAAAGGGCATTGACCTAAGCAGAAAAGTTGTATTATTCCCAATTTACTCACAAACGTTTACAAATCTACAGTTGTGAGTAGATTTGATACCAATTAGTATTTTCTATTATTAATCAGCATATGGAATGTAAAATAATAATATTAATAAGAAAAATGTATAAATTTATTAAATGTATTACTGTCATTGTTGATTACTTGTGTAATCAATTGCGATGTTTGGGGTAGGGGTTAACATTTAGGTTCATAACTCATGATTTATTAGATAGATTTGCATGATGTTGGTATTGACATGTAGCCTGTAGATTTTCAAGCCATTCAAATTTAAAACGTGTGAAGAAATTGACGTATCTAAAGGTCAAAACGTCGTTGACCTCTGTAGAAAAATGTAAACTCTTCCAAAACACCATGGCAGATATTCTTTATGACCATATATGGAAATATACTGTAGTGGTGAAAGTTATGTTAAAAGTTTCCCACACGAATAAAATAAACGAGCGGTACTTGATAAAGACCATTTGGTTTCTTGCTTCAAACAAGATATACATTCATAGAAGTCTTTTATGAAGATGAGCCTTTCCAAGTGAACATAAACGGGTCGGGGACCAGGACATACTGTACATTCGAATTTATATTGACAAAGATTGAAATATGTTAAATACAGACACGATGTATACATAGGCCTAGGTCTATAGTCCAGTTAGAATATGTAATTATATATCGGAATGTATATACTGCCCTGCTCTGAGAAAAGGCATTAAGTAACAAAATCATAGTTTTTAGTAAATTAGCAAAACGCGTTTGAGTTTTTCCAAGAAAAGTACAAATGATTTCAAATTTGTTAAACTATGGTTTGCTTAGATATATTATTACAAAATTTGCCACATACCTTTCATTGATTAATTTTATTATTAAGGGGGCCAAAATGGAAATAATGCCTTTTTTCAGAGTATGTATAACTATGAATATAGATAAATACTTTTGAAATCGGGCATTATCTACAAAAGTGTTAATAAACATGCATTAATTATTCATTTATTGAAATGTATGTATATGAAATTAAATCTATAGATTTATAACATATATTTCATAAAAATCTGCTCCAAAAACAAGTGAAATCTAATATTTAAAATATTAAAATAGTTTAAACCGCAAAGTCTTCTATTTAATTTTTAAAAACCGAAGTATATGTATGAAATCCAAAGGTTAGTGTAAAAATTGAAGTCTAGTTTACTCTGACATTATAAAATGAGGAATTTAATTGTGTACACGAGGAAAATGCGCAGAGGGGAGGGGAAGGAGCCAGTGTTGTGAGGGGAGCGGGTGAGGTAGGATAGAGTGAAATTATTTTTAACGTATTTATTTTTTTGGTTCAGTAACTAGCATGCCATCATATTTTTAAATCTCTTCATCCTCTTAATTATCATCATATACACCATCATCATCATCATCATAATCATCACCATTATCGATTGATAATCAGAATAGGCTTATCATAATAATTAAATCGTTATCGACTAATAATAAAATAGACAAAGCATTATAATTGCAAATTCAAAGTTTATTGATTATAACTTGTTAATTAACAATAACATGTAGAAAAATATATATATATAAAAATGGTGTGCTAATTTTAAATATAAGATTAATTAATTTATATTTATTAAGTTATAATATACATTGACACTATTATCTTTACAATGATAATAATACAATAAAAACATGTTATACAAATGAGTACAAAACATTTTAAAAGTTTTATTTACAATTCTTCGACTGTTTTAATAGTTATTTACAGGTCCTTTTACGGTTTTTTTTTTTAAATAGTTACACTTTTTCTTTCACAATTGCATTACTCAATGTCCCTTCCTCGAAGTGGAGCATGATCTCGGTGGCGAAAATTGTGTCTGTCCACTTTTGGTTTACCACTTGGTTGCCTGAAAGAGTAATAATAATGATGATAATAACAATGATAATAATGATAATAATAAACACAACACAAAACATACAATGTCGATAAAACAAGAAATACTACTACTAATATTAATAATCTAAATTTACGACTAGGTTTGAAACATAATAAAATACAATATTGTACTCACTCTTCCGAAGGACTTCTAAAAAGGGCCTGGTCTTGCGCTGTAACTTGCATAATTTCGGCAAAAGTATTGCATTAATCGCAGAATTATAAATAAACGCCTTAAAATATAGAGCAGATAATGCACTTT